TCAAATTAATATTGGACTAATAGATCTTTGCCTTTTAAACAGCCTCAATTGGTGCACATGTTTTTTTTGTTGTTTTTTTTTTAATTACTTGGCATGTAGATCGTTCCAAGCGTCTTCCAGTTTTTCTGTGGATTCAGTCTCTCTCAGTGGTTTCATGTAATCCCAGCCTGACTCCGTGATGTTGACATCAGGGCTCTGCTGGGGCTGAACCATCTGCTGCAGAGCTCCTTCTTGTCGCAGACGACGGTTCTGTATGACTGACTGCATGTTCTGGTTGTTGTTGTTGTGTTTTTCGTGTGCTGCAGAATGAATCCGGGACGATCAGACGCCTCCCTGATGGTTCTGTGTGATGGATGAGAATCTTAAAGTGCCTGAAGCTTCTTCTGTTTTTTTCTACATTTTGACCACTTTAGTAATTTACTGCATTAAAGGGGTGTAATGGTCCTCTCTGGTCATTGATTAAACCTCTAAAAACTAGTCTCTGTGTATCAAATCTACATATTCAGGAGTCTTTTCCACTAATATATTACCCTGTTCTGCTGTTAGGTGCAATTCTTCAGCATTGCTCTCTTTAGAACATGCAGATCTATGAAGGCCCTGTCGTTGTCTATATACAACCCATTTGTCCACCGTTCGCTGCAGCTGTAGCACACCAGCTCATCTACGAATCTGCTCAAGCACTGTCAAACTCCTCTGCAGTACTGTGGGAGAACTTAAGCCATACATGTCTGAATCAGAAAGAGGAAAAATGATAGAGAAAATCCCTCAATGCAAGCTGAAAGAATTGGTTCCCGAGGAAGTCTGAATTTGTGTTTTTGAGACTGTCAACAGCTTCAAGATGGAAAAACGTTTAGCCGTGGCGCTGACTGCCTACTTTGTTGGTGATATATCTCCTGGTATATAGAAAACACCATATGGACACGTCCACAAGGTAGAAAATTGGCTTTTCACCAGAGGAGAGGGTTTTAGGATAATACGCTGGTACTTTTCTTATGTATTTTTAATTAAAATCTTAATTAAGCTTAAGCCCCCTCTTGTCATGATAGCAAACTCTTTTTGAGAAGCAATTCAATCATGATAATAGACAAATAAAACCTCCTGCAGGAAAAGCAATGCCAACATAACAATTATAGATCCAGTAAATAATGGGGGATAAATTTACAACACATTGCTAAACTTGTCCGGCACTGGTTGGTTTGTGCATTTATTTGACTGTTTTATTTAATCATTTATTTATTTACAAATCGGTCCGTAGGTACACTGAGTTTTAGTATGAATGAGGCTCTTGATAGGCAAAATTTCATGCATGTCTGATGTCTGTATGCGTTTACGAGTGATGCGCCGATAACTCAGCCCTGCTCAACTCCAATGGGAAATAGCTGATTTTAATATTTTATCTCGGGATGCAGTTAAAGCCAAGCGGACGTCAAGCGGACGTCAAGCGGACGTCAAGCTGCCTGCGCGGCTACTCAAATCTCTCTGCACCCATCGCGCTTCCAGTCGCCGCTTGGCTACCGCGGACATCAATCACGACACAAGACAGAAGGCTCGACTTGACTGCCAAACACATCCTCTGAGCCACAATGATTAGTGACAATTCAGACAAAAACATCCTCAGCATATAATTGGAGAGTGGCGAAGACTAAGCAATGCTGTCAGAGATAAAACTGGTGACCACTGGGACATGTGACATTAAATGTAAAGTGAATTCATTAGTTTCGCTTAAGCAGCTCCGTGCACAGGCAGCAGTCAAGACTGAAAGAAGAAAAAAAAAGAAAACAGATGAAGACAATCAGGTTTTTTTTTTATCTTAGAAATATCTGCCAGCCAAGGAAGGAATTACTTTACTCAGACTATTGCAAAGAATAAGACCTGTGAGGTTTAACGGAGATAATGCTGTATAATTTATCACGAGGGAAGACTCATCTGCTGACTGCTGATGATCACTGAGCTACTATCACGACATCCAAAATTAACTCCCACTTTGAAATTGATGCCACAAATGAAACCTGAATACAAAGTAACTGTATCTAATTAGCCAAACAGATCATTGCAGACTTTCCTCGCGGAGGCCTCAGGATCAGTGGAAACCGTATAATGTCATTTAGGCATTAATTTTGTCCACTAAGGAGCCACCTCTAGTACTAAAGGGGCGAATTAACAATTAAAAACAAGCGCATTTAGAAAGGTTAGGAGTTTAATATTCCACACTGGCCACATTGTCGCGAGGGTTGAGGAATACCCTCTGCATACTAATTAACAGTGCACTGTCCGTTTAGTGGGCTTTGGTCAATGTGTTTTCTCAATTAACCTTCACCATGTTAGCAAACAGGGCTTTTTTCTTTTTTTGCATCTATGTGTTAATTTCAGCAGCAGGCAAGCACTGGTACTGGGCAGATTCTCAAAGTGCCTCCTTAAACAACACAGCTCTGTGTTGCCCATTCATTCCTCTACAATAGTAATTGAGGCCGTCAATCAGTTTTAGAGGGCGATTAGTGAGCATTTCAGACACAGGAGTAGGACAGGTTCCTGATTGACATTTTTATTTTATGCATCCTGATTCCTATCTGATGTCAAAAGAGTCACGTGGAATCACAACCAAGAAGTATGTGACAGATTCGAGACGGATAGTTTTAAGGAGCCTTCAGTCCGCACAGAGAGTTACCGGAAATACTGATATTTAAATGTTATCAGACATACATAGCAGTTCGTACACAATCCCTGGTAAATTGTAATTCTCAGATACGTGACTCTTTTCATGGTTCAATCTCTCCTTTACATAAATTCTTATGTAAATCCCATCAGTTTGCATATTCACCAGCTGAGCAGAAACACAAACGCACTGAAATCGTAAATAAATAAAGACAGTGGAAATAAATACAAGACAACAGCTTTCATTACTGATCTGTCAGATATTCAGACTGTCTTCAATGAAAAATCTGCACTGATGTTATTTAAAGAATCTTCGCACCCCTGACCAGAAGTTTTGGTGCTGCTTCTTCTACTTCAAGAATAAAGTCACATTACAAAACAGCAGAGCAGAACTTTGACATGCTGACTGCAGTTTATGATGAGTAATCTGTGTGTTTTCAGCCTCTCTGACGGAGAAATGTCAACATCAACCACACAATATTTACTTTGTTAACAGAAGAAACCCTCAAACGAAATCAAAACTCTGTAATACAACTGAATTGAAAAAGTTTCTATTAAAGGCCATATTGTTGCATCAAAATCTCAACCAAGCAGCTCGCGGCTCCAAAAACCTTGATCTCTTTATGCTATCACTGCCTACATCATCATGACATCTGAACAGGTTTGTATGAAGTCAGAAATCTATTCGTGTGCAATCTGCACAGTGATCGATCCTGTGCAGGTGTGGCTCATCTCAAAGTATTTATCGATTCATCAGCTGACTGGCAGCATCCAATCATAATGAAGCAGGTGTAGAACAAAGCCACTACAACCTCATTCTACTAACACCACCTACTTATGTGCTCAGCTTCTGGTTCTGTGGACTTTAATAAAATTCAGCGGTCATGTGTCTGTTTGGTAAAAGGGGTTTCATCCCGCTCATAAAACCCTCGTCGCCGCTTTGAATCTCTGAGAGCTCCAAATCCAACAGAATGACCATTTTCTATGAACGGTCATTTAATCGACACTTTATTATTTTAGCTGCTGTCAGCATAAGCTGTTTATCGCCTGCCCGAGGGGCCTTGTTCAGGTTGTCCTCCCCGTTCAGGTAGCAGCAGCAGGCAGAGGTACGATGACATTATCCTATTTAAGGTGTGACAGGCTGCGCTCCCATGTCATATGTCGAACACCTGCAACACCGGTACCTCGGAGAGATTCAGTGGAAGGAATAACTGAAGGCTTGAGGAATAAGTCTTGCACATTATTCACACAAGGTGCAAATAAGGTGGATAAAGTGGATTTGAAAGGTTTTGGGCCACAATGAGTGTCTATTTTTACTTTGAAGCTCTATCTTGGTCATTATGAGGGGCTTCCAGATCTTCCATCATTGATATAATACCTGCAGATTTTTTTTTTACATTAGCCTTTATATAAAGATGGGGAAAAAGCATTCATCATTATGACAATTTTATGTTTTTACATGTTTCTCACCATAAAATGCTGTCGGTAGAGATATTTTTTTATAATTGTGTGTGTGGGGGCAGTATCAAAACCCTGATAGTGGGATAATGTATGACTTGGAAATTGAAAAAACACATGTTGCTTAGTGCCTAATGGAAACAACTGCCATCATTTTATTCACTCAACTGTTCAGTCGCCTACTTGTAGAGGTGGCAAACGAGGAAAATGTAACACATCATAATATATCAATGCAAGGAATCCATTTCATGCTAATTAACATAACTTGATGTTAACATATCTGAATAATGACACATCTATGCTGTAGCGAGTTCAGGAGTAATTCTATCGAGAGTAATGGGCGTAGAGATGAGCACACAGCTGGATGAATTCAATTCACTGTAAATTCAAGACACTTTGTTGCACAGATGAGCGACTGGCATCGTTGGAAAGGTTGAGTCGTGCGGTTTCATTTGATATGTGCCTCACCTCGCCGCAATAAAGACTTCGAGAGAGAACCAAACTGAGAAGATGGGATGCGAAATTTGGATGTAAAGTGCGTCTGTTGGACTCTAGGAGTTAATGCTCATTAACATCAATTATTCCGTTCCATTTATGCCAGAGGGATGAAATCATTCTTTATTAATACTCTCCCTTCATCTCATGTTTTGATGGTGTTAAGGCCACACTACATGATTCACATCGTTTTCAGACTTACCAAACCATTCACTGAGCCCTTGTGCCCCTCTCCAGTTGTGCAGTCATGCTTTTCTATTCGTCTGTTACCAGCGTGGCTAAATATAAACTGTATTAAACCACTTCTGGATTCTTTTTTATCCACATATGATGCACTTGAAATGTCAAGTGTAAATGAGGTCAGCGCAACTCCATGTTTTGGTGAAAGCACTTACTTGGACACCAGGGAGAAGGCTTCGGCACACACTGCCGGACACGGCACCAGCTTGATCATCACGTGTTCGGCTGCAGCCTGGAAATGCGCCCGGGTCACCTTCTCGAGCACCGAGGCCAAGGTGGCCACATCGCCCGCCTTTGTGCTGGGGTCTCCGCCTGCCGTGTCCAAGATGTTGCCTCCGTGCACCACGAGCAGCAACACGTGCGTCTTGCATTTCCTCTGCAAGTTGAGGTTGAAAAGGAGATGCTTAAAAGGAGAGACTCAAAGGGAAGGCAAGACTAGTGGCAGCATTGGAAAACAAAAAAACTAAGCGCTGCTATGTGGTCTTTGCTGGTGAACACAGTGAGAAGCTGCTCATAATGGCCCTACCTCTATGTCCTCCAGTCCTTCGATGCTGCTCTGAGGGGCACAGCGTGGACCTCCCAGCTGGTACAGACCCACTGGATTGGATCAGCAAAGGACAGAATGGAGAAGAGGCCGGAAGGGAGGAAAAAGGAAACAATAAAGAGAGAGAAAGGGTCAGTGCAGGAGACAGCCAGATAACAGAAGCATGCATGGATATTGATCAGCGCATGTGATCAATAACACTAATGCTACTTCATCTCTCTTCATTTGTACTCAAAACTGAGCTCTTTGCATCCTTAGGCTAAACTGGAACAACCATGAGACTCAGTGGTGACAGTAAACAGCAGGAGTATCGGTCGCTTCCCTGCTGCAGCATCTATAGCCACAGCATGTAATTAGATTTTGGCTCCTCTGATGCAGAAAAAACACAACACACTTCTTATCTGAAGATAAAGGAGGAGGGGGGGGCTCTTTTTTTTTTTATTTATCCCAACAGTGACGACAAGAATCCCCCTCTCCCTCCTCTCCGTGTGTGGTGCAGAATTTCATGGGAACCTGGCCAAACTCATTACCCTCTCCGGAAGCCTCAGCATGCTGTGTCATCTTATTCCGGAGCTCTCTCCTGTCTCTTTTTCTATTTTCCCTCTCCCGGCTCAAGGCTCGGCTCTGTGCTCGCTCGATCGTTGTTTATTTGGCCTCCATGTCTGGGACCGACTGTCATGGGAGGCTCTCACAGACTCACGCACTGTCGGCTCCCTTCTACTCGGTTCCCAGCCCACAGCCTGCCTCCAACTGCCTGCTTGTCTAGAACAGATCAGCACACACAAGGGACTCGGCACACTGCACTATTTTGGTCACAAAGTAACAGGAAATCAATGGAGGGAAGTTTTTTTTCTTTTTTTTTTCGAGTTAGGGAAGAAAAGCTCCTCCAAAAACCTTGTAAAGTATTTTCGTGTGCACACACTCCTGGAGGGGGAGAAACATTGTGGAATTTGACAGCGAGCAGAAAAACTCTGCTTTGTTTGGTAAGAGGGTGTTTGTAGTTAATTGTGGTTTAGTTATTGGTGTGCTTTTTAAGCTGCCTTTTGTAGAAGCCACTGATAGAAATATTTATTAGATGTGAAATGTGATGATTGACACAGTAAGCCAGTCATTTTCCTTGTTTGTACTGGCAAACACAATTTTACCTCCTAGGATGTGACTGGCTGCTATCAGATGAATTCAAAGTGTACGCTCTGTCAGAGAACATGAGGAATTGGTTTGTAGCACACTTGCAGTTGGACTATTAAAGGATTGTATGTGAAGTTTTGAGCAGACATTCACGGTCCCCAGAGGATGAATGACGTTGGTGATCCTCTGATAGTAGATGAGGGTAAAAGCCTGCCATTGGCTCCTCATTTCAGGCAGCTTTGTCTTCCCCTGCCACCGTCTGCCTGCCACTATGAAAATTTAAAGCTTTGCCAAGGATTCGGATCAAGTAGTTATCCATTTAAATCACAGTGGTGGTTCCCCTGCATGCAATAGTTCCACCAGACCACCATATCTTTGAGGAAACACTGGAGCTGCATCCAGCGCTTATCTCCGCCAACAAAACTGCGATTGGTTTAAAGAAATACAAATAAACCAGAGTGTTTTTCCCCCTATAGCAGAATAAAAATGAGCTGCAGCCAGGCCATTTTATTCTACTGTCTTTAACTTTTATGTAGCACCACTATAAAGTTGACATTTTGGATGAACTATTAGGAATTTTGCAGCAAATATTGAAAGTCCATAGAAGTTATCTCATCTAATGACTCTTCACTTAGTGACATCATGCACCACACTCCTCCTATACACTCTTTATTCACAGTACTATATTCACATTGCACCCTTTTTGTACTTTATAGTGCTCAATTTTGTTTTATACTATTCTGTAATCGTATTATTATTATACTCTATTTTATTGTAATTACAACCACTTTGCACCTTATTGGCAATACTAGCAATTTTTGCACATTTCTGTAAACACCATCTTTATAGGCTTCTATCTATCTATCTATCTATCTATCTATCTATCTATCTATCTATCTATCTATCTATCTATCTATCTATCTATCTATCTCTCTATCTATCTATCTTTCTATCTATCTATCTATCTATCTAGCTTTTCTTTTTACTTCTTATTGTCAAATCCTTTTGGCATGCCAGCATCTTAACTAATACTGAAATCCTTTTAGCATTACCTGGCAAACATCAGCAGTCTGATAGCATTTTCACAAAGACTGTGTCCGCATGCTGGCGTGTTTGATGCATTTAACTGAAATCACAGCTGTGCCGAAGTACAGCCTCAATGACTCAGCAGCAAGAGAGTAGACTTTTAATTTGGTTAAGTGTTTGTCCTGGGAAATGTGATCATTGTAAAGTCTGTCTCCAGTCATTGATTTAATACTTTAAAAACTCAAGTCTTTGTTTCAAAATGACATTTAGAAGTTCTTTTTTTTCTATTATAATAATCCCTTTTCTGCCTTAAAATGGCTCAGATGTAACTCTGCACTGTTGTTTCCTGTAAAATGTGTGGATTTTTTAAGTCTCCGCCTCGACTTGCTGCAGCTGGAGCACACCAGCTCCCCTACAACACTGTAAAATCTCTTGATGCTACACATGTTGTGATACTGGAGTAAGTCAACCAAACACGTTGAAAGAAGATAATGCCACCCTGCATTTTGACAGGATTGGTTCTTTATGTTCGTTGTGTATGAAGCTTTGGGTACAGCCATCAGTACACTGCAGCTTCAAGGTGGAAATGTTTAGTCGAGCCATTTAATTCTTATTTTGTGTCTTCTGGCATATAAAAAACACCACGTAAATATGGTTACAGGGTAAAAAAAACTTGATATTCACTGGAAAATTGCACTAAAATATGAGCTAAATCATGATTTACTAGCAAAATATCTAAATTTTTATGCACAAAACTACTAATGACTGAAAAAATTTAACATTTTTGAGCTTTTGCACAGACAGTGGATGGAAGAAAGCTTGAGAAACACTGATTAAAACCTCCAAATAACACTAAAAATCTGCACTTGAGTTCTAATAATAAGATCAGGAGGCAGTTTAAACTGAGACCAATCAAGAAATTGGACTTTGACGATCTCCTGAAACAGTGTGTGTGAGAGAGACATGAAACTCTTCGCTGCAACCCAGAGAAATAAAATTACTGTAGGAGGGCTGGAGCAGTGCCTTGAAGCAGAAAGCCGAAATAGGTTTCATTACAAGTTCAAAGACTATAATTCCTGTGGCTGATTGAACGAAATATGATTTATTTGATTTGGAGGAAAGGAAATGTTGCAACCACATCCGATGTAGTTCAGATTTTTGATGTCAAAATCGCCGACAGTATATAGATCAAGACTCAGCCATATCTTTAAAGACATTCTGTTGCCTAAGTGTTTCAACGCTGACCACACAGACGAGACAATAACACCACACACTCGTTCAAACAGACAATACAGAAACATCTCAAACATACGCTTTTGTGCGAGGAAATGTAGTGGCTGTAAATCAGCAGCTGTGCTCAGCAGATTGTAGGAAAGACAGTCAGAGGAAATAGCAGAGCTTCACTCACCTCATCATTTGTGAAAGCAGCACACATGCTGAGCTGCTCCTGAATTCAACGTGAAGCGAGACATTTGTGTGATATTGAGGCAAACTGACAAAATTATGTTTGTATTGGTGCAGCTCAGTGGAATAAACCACCTTCCTATGGTTAAAGCCAAGCCATTTTTTCCCCTTCTGCAGCAGACTTAGCTGCTGCAGAAGGGGATTCTCACAATCTGTCTGCGTTTGTGTTTTCATTTCTTGTGTTTCCTCCCTCTAAGGTCTGAGAGTCCTGCCAGTCAATATGTGCTTTATGAGGCTTAGTGGTATTTAGCAGCTCTCTCCCAGAAAATCCACCCTCCTTCTAACAGAATGACCCTAACCTAGAAAGCACCCTGAGGAAAGTTGACAACGCCGTAGCTCAGCAGCAACATTTGGCCATTTCCAGTGGCTTAAAGCCCAGTAAGGCTGACAGACAAACAAACTGCATCTGTTGTCATCCTGGAGAAACTTCATAACTTATCTACGAGCGACAGGAAGAGAAAATTGACCCCAGAAAGATGGGAAAAAAAAAACCCTACAGAGAAGTCTACCAGAGCTAAATGTGAACAGATGAAATATTGATCCATTGATCTCCGTTCAGATCCCTCGTGTGCCTTTCTGTCAGTGTAACTACGATTTAAAATGTCATCGTCTGATAAAAAAGGGGTTGCTTCTTTTCTGTTTCCAGCACCCTTTTGTTTTCTGTTTATCTCTCCCTGAATCTTCTTCCTCTCGGGTCTCGGCCACTTCCATCACACTTACACGTTTATCACCTTCGATTGAGCAGATGGGCGGAAGACAAGAGCAGCGGGATGAGAGCGAGAAGCAAAAGACTGCATTCGTCATCATGGAGATTGTCTTCCAGATGACAGATTTATATCTTCCCAGGGACTATGAAAATGGCAGAATGCCCTCAAAGTTTCCTGCCTGCTGGAGTGTGAATCAACTCATTAGAGAGCTCCAGCATCGTGGGGAGTTATCTGCGGTCCCGCGAAGGAAAACAGCAGCATTGTCTTCTCGTTGCAAATTATTTATTTTTTTTACCTCTAAATCTTCAGCTCAGTTCAACACGACATGCTACAAGGAACAAGATGAAAAGTGTGATATTGAACAAAGTCTCTGATTATATTTGTGGGAGTTGATAATGAAAACGCTGCACAGACAGGTGTGAGACAACATAAACAGCATCAATCACAGCGAACAGACTTATCGTGTTATTACGAAAAATATCTTTATTAAATGGAGTTGAATTCTGTCGGGTTTTTTTAAAATTTGAACTTGCAAATAGCTTTTTTTTTTTGGCCAATTTGTGCAGAGCAAAAAGATATCAACACAACCCTGGCGTATTATAACTTATCAAGATGTTAAGGTGACCATGTTATCCAGCAAAGCAAAAATATCTCCCACCATCTAATGAATAAAATAAAACCATGAGGCTGTTTTAAATCTGGTGATAATTGTCACAGTGACCCTTCAC